CACCTCTCATCCGTCTTATTCTATTACACCTCTCATCCGTCTTATTCTATTACACCTCTCATCCGTCTTATTCTATTACACCTCTCATCCATCTTATTCTATTACATCTCTCATCCATCTTATTCTATTACATCTCTCATCCATCTTATTCTATTACACCTCTCATCCATCTTATTCTATTACACCTCTCATCCATCTTATTCTATTACACCTCTCACTGGTGTAGAGTTTTTAGACGTAACAAAATTACTGACCTTAATTTTCTCACAGACATTCAAAAGAGGTTGTCTAGACCAGCGTTTCTCAACCTTTTTAGTAACACGGTACACGGGAACTTCAAGACATTGCCCGCGGCCCACCAAAATCATCGAAGTATGACAATGTTGTTTAACAGTTGCTTTGCTAGCTTCGTGCGCGTGTCATTGATTTATAGTGAGCATTTTACGATATATTATGTAGTTTGCATTATACTTTTGCTGTTTTATAGCATTGTTTAAAATACTGTCATCTAATCTTAAGCCTTTTCGCGACACACCTAAAATTGCTTCGCGGCCCACTAGAGGGCCGCGTCCCAACGGTTAAAAAATACTAGTCTGGACTGCACTTATTATATGTAACTAAGTGACACAATATCTACCTGTTTACCTTAAACATGTTTAAAAAATTCAACGTAAGCGTTAGTTTGTTTATAAAATGCGTTGTCATATAATAATTTTCTCTCTAGCAGGGGGAGAGACCCCCCTCCCCACACTAACTTTATGGCAAAAGGGTGGGATGGCTGAAACAATATTATAGGATAACTGAAAGTTTATTGGAGAAACTACAATGAGGAGTATATGGTCAACATTGAAATTGTGATTAATTAAGTGTGGTAAACGTTTCACCTTGGCACGAAAAGTCTTACGATGGTGGCTTTATCCTCTCTACTGTACAGTATACACGTAATAAAATATTGAACTGGACAGTTGTTTTGTTAAAGTTTTATAGGAGGTTTGACTGCCCCCCACCCCCACCCTTCATATTTTCTCTTTAACCACTGTGTCAAGTATATGATGACACAACACGGTATGTTAAAAATGTAAAGTCAGTTATTCACCAGTTATGCGTGTTGGGTCTTGCATGTCTTAGCTTTCAATAATTAATTGCCCCCCCCCCCAAGTGGCACAGCGGTATGTCTTCGGACTTACAAGGCTAGAAACTTGGTTTCGATACCCGTGGTGGGAAGAACACAGATAGCTGATTGTGTAGCTTCGTGCTTAATTACAAACAAAAGAAAAACAATAATTCTGTGTATTCCTCACGATATTACAGTAATTACTATGTATTCCTCACGAGATTACAATAATTCTGTGTATTCCTCACGATATTACAGTAATTACTATGTATTCCTCACGAGATTACAATAATTCTGTGTATTCCTCATGAGAGTACAATAATTACTATGTATTCCTCACGATATTACAATAATTACTATGTATTCCTCACGAGATTACAATAATTACTATGTATTCCTCACGAGATTACAATAATTATTGTGTGTTCTTCACAAAATTATATTAGCAATAAAAATGTTCAGAGACAAAATATTTACACTACGATAATGACTCAGAACAGGCACAGACATAAATTACAATGTCATAATGAACCAGAACAGGCACAGACATAAATTACAATGTCATAATGAAAGGATACAGAATACTTACAATCTAGTAACCAAGTAGTACAAATTTAACACACTACTTATTGTGCTGCAATGAAAAAATGCAGAGTCTACATACAACCATTAGGCAATGAAATAGAATCTACTTACAATGTGGCGGGGACAAACTGAGGTCTCGTTCCATTTTGTCAATTTTCCCTCTTTCCCGCCGAATCTGAAAAAATTTCGGAGCTGTGCTAGCAAAATAGATGTCGCTCTGGAATAAACAATTACACCAAAAATAATTAATTGTCACCGCTAATTGTTGATGTTTAAATCTGGAACTTTCTGAAATCTGGTATCGTTGATACAAAATAACTAAGATTGATATATCCAACTATATATATATATATATCCATATATATATATCAATATATATCCATATATTGATATATGTCCAAACCACAAAATAAGCTACATAAGCTTGGTTATTCAATAATTATTATAACTAAGAAACGTACCCCCCAGTGGCACAGCGGTATGTCTGTGGACTTACAACCGGGTTTCCATACCCGTGGTGGGAAGAGAACAGATAACCCTTCGTGTAGCTTTGAACTTAACTACAAACACGGCTGTTTGTGCTAGTAATTAATAATCGTAGTATATATACACACATCATTGAAAAAAATTTAGAAAAAGTGAACATTTTATAAAAAAAAGGATTTTTTTCTGTGAAGTATGGCACGGGAAAAGTGTTCGGATTTTGCTCTTTAGTCATACGCAACTCACTGCATCAAAATGATTCAATGTACAGAGCTCAAAATTTTTATACATTTTACTGATATAAACTGTAATGTTTATATATATTAAAAGTGATACCGTTTACTGAAAAGGTAATAGTTTTTTTATAAAGAACTCCAGTTTCTCAGTACGAAAAATAACTGTGGTATGTGTAACAACCATTTCTTTATAACAGAACACAATTTTAAATAAAAGTACTCTACTCACAACAAGAATACGACTTTCACTAGGACTGTACGTGAGGGTTTGATTATATCTTTATTGGTGTAATTTTTAAATGTATAATTGTCTCAATCTTGAATACCCAAAGTGTGAATTTTTGTTATGGAATATTGTTTGTGGTATCATTCAATGGTGCAGGAGTTTCGGTTACATACATAGATACTGACATACATGCTACGTCCATTATAGTAAGATGAGGTTTACCAGTAATTTACAAAATAAGTAATGAAAAATGCAGACTCTACAGGATACATAGGTTAAGTTTGTTATATTTAAACGATTTTGGAACCTCCCCACATTGTTACATCCGGTCATGTTCAAAGCATACCACATCATCTGCATTTGCTTCTCATAATCCTTCTAGTTTACCACAACAGTCAGAAATCCATAGAAGACTTGATCGAAATATCCTGAATACTCATTTCATTCTTCAGCTGCTTGAGGTATGTAACAGTTGAATGGATATGCCCTGGAAACAACTTGGGTACACGTGACTTGTCTTTTTTTTTCTCAGACAAAGATACTTGTTGTGTACTGCTGCTTGGGATATGTAGATGGCTTTTGCCATTGACCTTTCTGTTATTGGATTCTCATCTGTTACATGATGCTACACTTTGCTTACAATGACTGGGGTACGACTTATTGTAGGGATCCTTTTCTGGGTGGTCCTGGTGCCTTAAGTTAATCCATGTTCCTTTGTTTCCATTGCCATTAAGTACAAGAGGTATCCACGTCTTGTAAATTCTAAATCTCCGATCTGAACACATCTTTGTGATCTGGGTGTATGAATATTTTGCGTCAGAAAAGACTGTTACACAGCCTTTCCAAAAGTCACCAATTTTGGGTGTATAACACTATCTATGAACATCAAACAATGTCAACATGTAGTTCTGATATATTCTGTTCCACTGCAATCTTATATCAGCTGACTTGCACACCGTATTTGCTGGTGTATAAGATGATACTTGTTACTCTTAAAACGATGCCTGATTTTATCCCTCGTTTTATACACAGATTCAAAGAGAGAGTTCCAGTAAGAACTCTCTGGTTAATAGCATATTTAACCCAAACTATGGTTGTTCCTTTTACTTTTTTTTGAGTAAGTGGGTTAACATCGTGCCACCTACTGGGGTATAATTACATATTGTATCATTTGTTTCGATTCTTCATAACTAGAAGTTATTTATCTCACATGATAGTTACAATTAATCAGACATTTTTTATTTGAAATGTATTGATCTTTTCCGTAATACTAAAATATTGCTAATATTATATTTAAAAAAGTTACTGTAAAGTACACTAATTTTGTAAACATGTACTATATCTTAAGGTTTAATTGTGTTTTTTTGTAACAGAAAATGAGTTCAGTTGTGAAGAAAACTTGTAAAGTTTTTTGTTACATGTTTGTGATTTAAGTTAGGCCGCATTGAGCTGTCTGTAGCGTTTGACGAGCATAAAAAAACCCCACACATGTGGTTGTATTGATTACTCCAGAGCCCAGGTTAGCACAGTTTCTTTACAAAAGTAACATCCTAGACTTTCTTGACAATAAAGGACGTCTTATACACCAAGCCTAAAAAAAAATAAAAAATAAAACACTTAATTTGCTCAAAAAAAAACAAATCGAGGGCCGTCTTATACACCGGCAAGTACGATATTCAGAAATATTCTAACATAATGTACTCAACCGTCTATAGAAAAATATGAAAATGAAAGATCAAAGCCCACAGAATAATTACATTGTGATGACAAGGGTTCGTTCTGTTTTGCCCACTTTCATATTTTCCACTGTAAATCTGTTTGTTTGTTTTTAATTATGCACAAAGGTACACAAGGGCTATCTGTGCTCTGCCCACCACGGGTATCGAAACCCAGTTTCTAGCGTTGTAAGTCCGCAGACATACCGCTGTGCCACTGGGGGGCCTGTAAATCTGAAATCATTCTGGAGCTATAGTAACAAAATTATCTTAGAAGCGCTTTATAACATTGCATTAAGTATCTTGAATCTTTAATAGCATTTCAGATATACCACTAGTTGACAGAGATTTAGCTCAGTTGTTGAGTTCTGGTATTGAACGAAAGGTCTTCTGGACAATGATTTCTGACAGAGAAAAGATAGATTTCAAATACTATTTTTACTCAGCTTTAAATCGAAATTACGAGAAAAATCGAAAATCAACTACATGTAGAAATGTAATTCACTTTTGTTACATTTTAAAATCACAACATCGACACTACGCCACCCTCATTTTAAAACCTGCTAATCAGGTTGGAATAATTTCTAATTACTACATTTATTTAAAGAAGACGTGGCTCGTGTTACCTTTGAGGTAATGGCAGTCAGTTTTGGCATCACCATATTGTGAACCAGATTTCCGTTTACAATAAGACGAATCTCAATGGTATCAGTAGTGAAGGCCATAACGTAAGGAAAGGCACACACTGGAAAATGTTAACAATGTTGGTAAAAAGTGACTGATACAAAAAAATAACATACACACACACACACCAATCATTAAAGACAATTTATGGATTACTCAATGCACTTCGATGTGTTGTGTAATTATTTATTGATATACTATTAATATACATGGGTTGGTAAAAAAAATAACTATACAATAAATAGTAATTAATAAAACGTTATTAGAATAATACTTTGTTGGTTCTAGTTAATCTTCGAGTCATTTATTTAAAATAGAAAACAAAACAAAAAAAACATACAGTGTATAGCTACTTTTGACCAATCCTGTACTTTACTTAGAACATTATTTTAAACTCAACACACGTTAAGTCAAGTTAACTGCTCATCTATCTAAATGGAAGGCCCGGCATGGCCAGGTGGTTAGGACGCTCGACTCGCAATCTGAGGGTCGCGGGTTCGAATCCCGTCACACCAAACATGATCGCGCTTTCAGAAGTGGGGGCGTTATAATGTGACGGTCAATCCACACTATTCGTTGGTAAAAGAGTAGCCCAAGGAGTTGGCGGTGGGTGGTGATGACTAGTT